TTTTAGATCACAAATGTATTTACACCGAATTTGAATATTTTAACTTTTTAGCATTTTAAAGTAAACTAGTTACCAGTCGTGAAGTGAACTTTCGCAGAGGTGAACAACTTGTGTTTCGCGCGCTCATATGACCTTAGCAGTTGCGAGCGCCGTAAAACCTTATACTACTACTACTACTAGAGTTGATGAAAAAAAGTAGGCTGCTTCTGTTTTGCTGTTCACGTTTTCCAAATATTGATATTGAACATTGTTGTGAGCATGACACACACTATGTTTGTGATTGGCCTCCTACAGACCAGGGAGCACTGTGATCATCATTCGGGTGGATACAGACTCTGACTGGGTGCAGCATCTGCTAGAGAGATACATCTACAGGTTGTTCCTGGAGCAGCCAGGTTCTATCTCAGTGGATGACACTGTGTACTCGGTTGTGTCTGTGAAGATGTATGAAGATGAAAATGATGCTGTGATGGACCAGGGAGCATTGAGTAAGTACATAGCTTACTGATGAGGCTGGAAAGAAATAAGCATCTTATGAACATAGCTGGTTTGAATAAAAAATACAGTGAAGACAAACATTATAGAATAGACTGAAATGAGACTTTTGGGTAGTTTGAGAGTGAGATTTTGTCCTACTGTGTATCTTCAGCCCACAGAGCAAGTGGTTTTGACATGTAAGGCATGTTTCCGTGCTTAGCAGTCAAGTTGTGTTTTCCATTAGCAACTGTGACTGTTTTCACAGGCTCCTCCATGAAGATAATTGTACTAGTAGAAAATGAAAAGTTTGATAATGTGTGTTGCACAGAGTAACTGTTAACTCTCTTTTCATGCCAGAACTGCACACTGTTTGCAACTTGGGTTATGAATGTCCGCAAGGTTCCAGATGTGTGGCTACTGACTCTCATCCCAAATGTGAAGGTAAGAGAGGAATAGAAAAAAGTAAACCTGATCACTCATTTCTTCTTTGATCCGCTTATCTGTTCATCATTGGATCAATGTCAGCATGTATTTACAAGGTGTTACTATCGGAATGTGAAATCAGTATGTCTTTGTGTCAGTTTTATGCTCCCTTACTCAAATGATGCCTTTCTCCCTCCATTTGCTAATTTTTAGTTCTTGTATTCTCAATCTTACTTCCTCATTTCCATTGTTATAGGATGTGTGGTGATGAGATGATTGAAGGGAAATAACTTACTTGTCCCTTGATTTGTGAGATGAAAGAAGTCAATTTGGACCCCACTGTTTACAAAACTATATTTTTGTACGCTGGTCCCCTCCCATCTAAATATTTTTTAAATTACAGTGTTAGGATGAGGGTGTGTGGGCAACCAAAAAAACCCCCTGTGGAAAGCAATAATTGTTGATGAAAGCCGTGACTTTGCTGAATGCCTGTTTCTTCAGTGCCATGTGACTATGGAGAGTTCCGTGAGAGGGATGGAGGCTGTGAGATGTGTCCTAACGGAACCACAACACTGGTCCCAGAAGCAATATCGCGACACATGTGTGTCCGTGAGTAATTGTCCGTGTACACTTGTGGTTTGTTTGTTGAAGTGGAAATTTCTAGTTAGATTCTGACTCAGCTGCCTGACACAAGCTCATAGACTTATGCTTCTGTATGTTCTTTTCTCATAGTTTGGTTTTTGCCTGGCTATAAGTTGTTGTTGTTGTTGTTGTTGTTGTTATCGATCCAGCAACAGCTGGGCTCTCGCCCTTCTGTCCAATGCCATGTAGTGATAAGTGCAGGTCTGCTGAAGTTGCTGTAATGTTCCATAGAGTGTGTTGTCTATGTTAGGTCTCGGAGGGAGAAGGGTAGCTCTGATGTCATTTAGGGCTGTGCAGTGGAACAGGTGATGCTCCACAGTCTCATATGCATAGTCACACAAGGGACACATTGGGGGAAGTTCCGGGTTTATTCTGTTCAGGTGGAAGTTGAGCTGTATACGTTCTGTTCGTATGCTATACGTTAGAATAGCATTAATGTTAAGTTGCTCTTTACATAGGAATCCAGAAGGACATGGTATTTTTTCAGATTCAACTGCCAGATACATGTATCTCTATTTATGCTTCTATATTCTCTCATCTCACAGTTTGGTTTTTACTGGCTTTATGGAAAAATAGTACAAATGTGTCACTCCATGAGATGCTCTTCAATTTTTGGGAATGTATGGAGTTATTGGTATCAACTTCAAATTTGTTCATTTATCTTGCTTTCCATGAAAAGAATTTCCTATCTGTCTTCAATAGATGTCAGGATACTTTGGATTGAATGAGGTGGGGATAACCTGGTTTTTAAAGTAAAATTAGGGAGAAAATGACTGCCAAAGTTTGGTGACGTCCTTTTGTTTGAGAGTCCTTGGAAACTGAAAATTTACATTTTTTGTACCCTTAATCAATTTTTTTTTTAAAAAGCCAAACTGGCAGGAAAAAGCTGGTATTTCGATTTTGTTATTTTGGCCAGCACCTGATTTTAACACGATGCTTCAATAATGTGAAGTTTCTCCTGACATAGAAATCCGAAAGGACATGTTTTTTTCTTTGCAGGATTGAATGGAATAATGCATGCTGTTAGAAATAAGAGGCATGGATAAGTTCTGATTGTTTTCATGTCATGTGTCCTCAGGCAACTGTTCATCAGGCCAGGTGTTGAGTTTGGAAACTTTAGAGTGTCAAGTCTGCCCGGATGGTTTCTACCCAGAATCTGTTCCTCCTGTGTGCTATGTCAATTCCAGTAAGTTCCAAGGCAGTGAATGTTTTCTGAGACTAGGAGAATAGACAAAGTAGCCATGACAGTTGTGTTGAACCTGTGTTCCTGTCTTTGGGATTGCATGGATAGCATTCCTCCCCATAGTGCTAGTGCACAGCTGGCTTTATTTCTTCCTCTTACTTCTATAGTTCAATCGAACCTTTTGTCTTATGTAAGAAAGTGGTTTTCTTTGTTTCTGAAATCTGCTTTTGACAATAGAATAGGTTATATGTGTGAAAGATTCCGATGAAATTTTTGGTTGAACTTGATTGATGGCTGAATGCGCTTTCCTTGCTCTGACAGCGCTACCTGTTGAGAATCGCAGGATGGACATCCACATGACAGTAACACTTGTGACCAACAGATGTGATGAAGAAAACACAAACTTCAGCAAAGCCAATGTCACTCTTGGGCTCAAGGATATTGCGAGAGGATTGATCTTTGCAAGATTTTACACTGCATATGATTTGTCAAGAAATGTATACCTGTGAGTTTGCTGGGGGGTTTTTATGTGAAGATATTCTTTTTGTCTTGTTTTATTTTGCCAGATTTAATGTGGTGTGTTAGAAGTGGGTGTGCACGACATTGTACAGCTTCATGTATTGTTTTTGTCATTAGCTGCAGACAAAACTAGTATGCTCTCAGAATTAACTCATTGATGACGTCCCGGGTCCCGGGACCCGGCGAGGTCAACAAACTCTGAAGATGCGCCGGGTCGCGGGACCTGACAACTTGTACCATTTTTTTTTTGCACCTAAAAGCTAATAGAATCTCAAGGGGAATGACTCCCAGTGTTAGGTAAACCATTTAACTTTATTGTGATTGTATCCCTTTGATCTGCCAAATCCCGCTGACCTGACCTACTTTTTACGTAAACAAGAAACAGCAGAGCTGCTGGATGCTCCTTTCACTACCAATGAAGCGATAGGGATTATTGATTCAGGAGACTATATATCGTCGGCTTTGTGATAAAACCAACTAACCCCAGCGAGGTAAATTTTACAGGAGAAGGAAAAAACTGTTTTATTTCAAAACAAAGGCGTCTAACGATAAATCAATGCTTTAAACACCTATAAAAACACTTTACCGAAAATCTGTAGACCTTTTTTTCCTTTAAAAATTGCTTTTAATGAAACTGTGTGGGTTAGACGGTTATGTCGCTAA